TGGATACTGATCTGTTGCTCTAAGATTAAACATTGTTCCAGGTAATTCAGCTAATTTTTTATTGTTGTGCTCATCAACAGGTCTATTTTCAGCATAAATATGTATGGCATCTGATGGATAATTTTCATCCTCTGGGTCTATTGATCTTGATTGTATCTGCTTAATGTCTTCTTCAGTTTGGTTAGCTGTACGAAATCTGTTTAGCATTTCAACAAATGGTTGGTCATCTTTTGAGCGCATGTTATCAATCAGCTCTGTCATTCTAAAAAGATGCCAGGGATGACACAGGTTAAATGTTTCATTGTGGAAATTTTCAAATACTGGTTTTTTCCTTATAGGTGGAAGCTGATAGAAATCACCACCTGCGATTATACTTATTCCAGCAAATAGTTTAGAGGCAGGTGTAGCAAATATTTCTTTTAATCTTTGATGGATATGTAGTAGTGTGGTATTGCCAACCATTGAAATCTCATCTACTATTATGAGTTTCAGTTCAGATAAGAAGAGTCTCAATTGTGTCCTGTTTTGATCTGAAAGGGGTTTTAAAGTAGAACCAGCTTCTTTTGGAATACCTAAAGCTGTATTAACAGTAGTACCATGAATATTTATTGCAGCAACACCTGTAGGGGCCATTAACAGTACTGATGGTAAGTCTGGGTTAACAGCAACATGTCGAAATGTTTTTGTTACAGTATGATATATTGTTTTAATCAAGTGGCTCTTGCCAGCTCCACCACCACCAGTAAGAAAAATATAAATTCCATCAACCTTTTGTGGTTTGATACAATTGATGTCTTTGACTTTATTTCTACACCAGGTTAGAACATGGTTAAATGTATATCTCTGTCTGTTATTCAAAGATCTCACAGAATGGCGTAGCTCATCATCAGTCATTTCTGAAGGTCGGATATATCGAGATAGTGCTGAAGCCTGATGAGACTCAGGTGTAGAGGACAGATGTGAAGGTATATGTTGATTGAATGTTTCATCTTCAACATTTGATTGTTCTAATTGGGAGTGTATATCTTCATTTTCTTGATCATTGATAGGATCATATGAGTGAAGTGTGTTGATATCATTGTTTCTAAGTGCATCAAGTGCTTCGATGACAGCATCAGAGTCTGGTTCAAAAACATTCTTATTTTTTTCTACTATAGTTTTTACATTTGGCTCACAGAATTTAGACATGTAGGTGTGTTGATCACCAAGAAGCTCAGTTTCTTCTCTCCATGGATAATATAACATGAGGAGATGATGGAAGTACTTTTCAGGCTCTTTTGCTTTACTTGGGGTATGGTATCTTATAACTGCTTTGAYCTTYCTRCATTTCATGACTTCAGTACCATTCATTAATCTTATTTTGTTAGGGAAAGATGATGTATCTTCTGTTGTAGTTATATGACATTGTTCAATCATGTTGTCGTTAAGTACTTCAGGTTGAGCATCAGCTGTTTCTGCTATATCAGTTTTGTAATCCTTATAATAGTAAGCAGCAAATTCTGCTAAGCACATGTTATTTATAGATGGGATATAGTTTGGTCTTATACTATAACGCTCTATAATATTGGATTTATAAATGTCTGTACTATCATCTTCTAATTCATCAAGTTCTTCTTGGCTCTTTGCTACTCTTATTCTTTTATCTGGCATATCTGTACTTACAAAAACCGTTTTAGGAAATATCTTTCTTAACCAAAGCTCAGGCATGCAGCGATATATACTTTCCTGGGAACTTACTTCTCTTGAAGAAAGAAAAGCAGCACCAATTTTTTTAAGCCCTTCTTTAACATTTAGGTTTGACTCTTTAGCCTCACGTGCAGCATTAACAATAGCTTGTGAGCATTCAGTTTCATCTTTTGTAAAATAACTRCATACATATGTAATACATTTATAATGATTAAAGATAGGTTGGAGATCTACATTTGCAGCAAAGCCTTTAATCCCAGCTATGAAATAATTATTAGTGAAACAACTATCAAGAGGTCTTTTAAGATGCAAGCCATAATCAGAATCAGGTGATATTGATAATGCTGCTTCATATTCTTGTTTGGTGATACCAACATNTCCCAAGACAATAACATTAAAGGGAAAAGTTGTAGAATCTTTCCTTTTTATACATCATGGTTTGACCTTCTATTGTAGCTGGAATATTGAAGGAAAGTTATATATTACTTTCTTTTTTATTTTGTWAATAACATTGAAACCATATTTTRTTATKTTGATTCAGCACCATCRATGACACCTTCMAACTTTGCTGTTAMGTCCCTAACYTCRCTATCTTTAACGGTCACATGGGGTGAGATCCCACCAGAAGGTCGGAATGGAATCATTCTAGGATACTACATTTTTTTCAAGAACAGTACATCACAGAATGCACCAGAAACCCAGGTGGTAGTGCCAGGAAACTCAACTTTCAAACACACTTTAAAGAACCTGAAGTATGATGCATATTTTTTGTCTGTGGCTGGATATACAAGAATTAATTTTGGTCCTAGAACATCGTCCATTAAAGCAGAACCACTTGGAGGAGGTAATGCTGATTTAGATGACTGAGGTTCTGAAGTAACAACTGTGTTAACTTGTTTTTTTTTTATCAATCAGCTCCATCAAAGCCAGAGGAATTTAAAGCCACAGTAATGAGTTCCACATCCGTTCTCCTAAAATGGGATCCTCCCAAGAATCCTAACGGAAAGATTATCAAATACACAGTCAAATATGGTGTTGATCAGCAACGACTTTCAAAAGTAGTACAAACAAAAGGCACAGTACAACAGGTCTTCRTCAAAAACCTTGAAGAGTACACAAAATACTATTTCCTTGTTTATGGTCACACAAACCATATGACTGGACAKTCATCCCAGATAGTTTCTGCAAAGACTTTTGAAGATGGTAATGACAATACTGCAATATGTAGTACTGTGACTTCCTGCTCYGTRGCCTTTATTCTTTACGTAATATATATGGGAGACCCTTATGGGTATTTAAAACATAAAGATTGGATGCAAATATTTTATATTGCTTATCATATTCATAAACTAAAGCATATTTTGCAAAAAGCTTCAAGATTTAAAATATCATTTTTAAGAGAAAATCGAAGTCAAGGTTGTACGCAAATCAGGACAAATCTCTTGCTCATATAAAGATGCGGTCACGGCATTGATTTTCCAATGTGTTAACCTTATGAATTATTAATGAATTTGATAATTAATACTTAATATAACATCAATACCAAACCAGGATCCATTGACATTTTGGTTTGTTGTCCATGCAGTGATTTGTGTCATTGTATAGTCTTGAGGAATATCCTTCATAGTACTAACACTTGTCTAAACTATACTGTCTCTGTGTGTATGACGCCTGACAAAATAATTTCTGATTTTCTGTGAGCTGATTCTATATAAAGTAAATATTTGAATAGTGAAATATTTCTGCACTTCAGTGTTGTGTCTTTGAGTGTTGAAGGTTTAGTCTTCCAATATGCTAATGATAATTATGTCAAGGGAGGCTTTATTAGGTATACGAATTTTGAAACAGTTGCTCAAAAATAATTTCATGCACGCCATCTGGGAATATGGTAATTCCCAACATTGCATTTACGATAAATTTAATGCCATGAAACCATTTTTAAGCGACTCCTTCAAAGTTCGTATATCTAATGAAGCCTTCTTTGATGTCATTTTCATAATAATATATTGTAAGATTGAACCTTCATAACTCAAAGATGCAACACTAAAATGCAGGAATATTTTGCCATTCAATTATTTTACAGAGAATTAGAAATTTTTTTGTCAGGTATCATAGGCACTTTAAGTAGTACACAACCATCAACTGCCATGTGCCTACCCCCTACCCCTTGTAAACAACAACAAGAACAACACCAGCAATTTAAATTGACTGTGAATCTTGAACAACCTGAAAGTCTTTAGATATTTGAAGTTTATAACTGAAATAATTTAGCTGACCATGAAATAAGTTTTATACCTAATATCTGCTGAATGACACTCAAAATATTTGGTTTCAGTACCTGGCGAGACTCCAGTAATTATTTCATCCAAAGCACGAGATGCTTATACTGTKTTTATTTCGTGGGACAAGATATCAACTGCAGAATCCAATGGCATAATTAAAGGATACATAGTGTTTTACAACACAACTGGACAATCAGGGTATCGCAATAAAACTATTAGTGATGGAGAGAAGCTAAGTACAGAAATTACAGGACTAACTCCTTATACTCAAGTGTGTGTCAAGCTAGCTGCATTTACTAAGATTGGTTTATCTAAGAACTGGGATAAGGAATCATGTACATATGTACGTACCCAGCAAACAGGTAATAGCTTTGATACTGATCACTTTGATTAGCAACAAACTTATAATAGACAAATAATTATAACCATCCACAAAATTTTCATCAAATATTCTGTATGTCATGTATCATTTATTTGTAATGAAACTGTTTACAGCCATAAGCAGTGTGGATGATTTCTTATAACTGGTGCCATTCTAATCATTAATCATAATGTCGCTGTTATATATCGTATATGCAGGTCCAAGTGCTCCTTTAGATGTGGTATTAAAACCGAAGACTTCCACTTCAATAGAGGTATCTTGGAAGAAACCTAAAACATCGAATGGAGTCATCAAAAAGTACATGATCTTCTATGGAGAGCACAAGGACAACTTTGCCCRTTTTGATGTAGGAGGGCAAAACTATGATTATGAGCTTAAAGGTCTTAAAAAGTTTACTACATACTACATTCAAGTACGTGGAGAAACAACGAAAACTGGAAATGCCTCAGATGTAAAGTCTGCCAAGACCCTTGAAGATGGTAAATAAGTTTCTGAAGTTTTTATGGCACCTACTTGATTTCCAATGCATTGTGGGATCAGTTTCTAGAGAAAACTAAAGAATCCTCCATGTTTTGTSCCAAACATATCCCACAATACATTGCTATATATGACACAAACGTTTCAGGGGTCTATTACTATACTTGYAGTAACATGTTTTACATGTTATATCTATGTTATTACTTTATGCCCCTCTTCGAAATCTAGCATGGTTGAAGTGGCCAATGTAATTAAATAAATCTATAGTAGTAGTGGCCGTGGATAATTCATATTGAAAAAAAATGTAATCAAATTATAATTGTTTTTAGCACCAAGTGCTCCAGTAAAGTTTAAAGGTAGAGATATGTCAGATAAGAGCATTGCACTGTTTTGGTCCAAACCAAAARAAACCAATGGTATTATTCGCCAATACACCATTAAAGTATATGAGGAAAAGACACGTGAGAAAGTTGGTAATACTATTGTCTTGCCTAGTCATAAGGGCATTGATCTTKTAAGAGAACATATTTATGTGGTGTCTGGGTTAAAGCCTTTCACAGAGTATTTCATGACCATCCAGGGCGTCACAATAAAACCTGGTGAACTTGCAAACTGTACTGCAAAGACACAGGAAGGAGGTTAGTCATGGCTGAACTTACAAGACCACTTGAACTTTGAAAGACTAATTTTCCAGATACAGTAAAAAACCGCGTATAAGAACATAGGTTTCGGTAAGCAAAATACTACACTACAAAACAAATCAAAACCTATTCTGTATAGCCTTCACTATAATTCCTACTAAATATTGTATACAAAACAACATGACATGATAAAGTTCCGCTTTAAAAATGTTCACTGACGAGTTTTATGTAACTATGCTGTAACTACTATAATCAATGTGTACATATGTGTATATATTTTGAAAGGATTATTTTTAATTTGCTTTTTTTCAAAATAAGAACCTGGCATAATGCCCGAGATTTAAACTACTCTATTGTTTATAATACTATATAATTTGCCCCTTAGACTCATATTATTGGAATGAATCGATTTCTCTATACTGATAATTGTTTTTTGGTCTTGCAGGAATATCTCCACCAAGAATAGTATCGCAATCCTCAACAATAATTACGCTCAATTTGCAAGATATCAATCTGCAATGTACAGTAACTGGGTATCCTGAACCAGATATAAAATGGTACAGAGGAGACAAAGAGATTACAGTTCCTGGGTGTAATGTGACCATTAGGCCAATGAATATCAAATGTGAAGGAAAAAAGCATACAATTGAAAAAATTGTTGTCGTACCACACAAGAGATACCAAGGTTTATTGAAAATATTAAAGGCAACATATCAAGATGATCATGGAATATATCGCTGTGAAGCTGTGGAACAAAAAGTTGGATCGGCAGAAGCTAATATTTCTGTTGTTATTCAAGGTAAATGATATTATTAGTCATGGGCGGATCTAAGGGAGGAGCCTGGGGGTGCCGGTGGCAATTAACCCTACCATTGGGAAATTACATAGTACGTAGACTGATAAAAGTTTTGTTTCGCCGTCAAAGTTTTAGGTTCCCCACAGACTTGTTTGAATTCTCGAGCGCTGATTGGGCTTAGTTTTTTGAAAAGCTAGAAAAAAAAAATCAAAGAAAAAAAAAAAGAAAAAAAAGCACAAAGGAAGAAAGAAAAGGCCATATGAATACATCAATCGTCACTGTAGCCAAAAATTGCTTTTCGAGCCGCTTTAAATCAGAATGGAATGCCCCATAAGCCCTCGCCTGATTTTCTCCTAAAAACACAATGGTATGCATTGACTGAGCCCAAATCCATGGTCAGTACTTATAGATGGAGGCCAGAACAATTCGGTTAAAACACTACTAGTCAAAACGCCGGCAGAAACAAGGCTGCAAAGATAGCTCCCTTCTCAAAAATTCACTTAGATATGTTCTTAGTACATCGACACAATTATTGATCTTGGTGAATCTGTGTTATAAACTTTGGACTCTATGTCGATTGTCATAGTATGCCTCCGAACGATGATTGATAATAGACATTGATTGACATTTGATATAAGAATTAGATTTTATGAAATTACTCTCTCTCACACTGTTTTTACAGAGCACGTGTACATGATCACATTATAACTTGAATTAAATATATCTCACAGCCAAAGTTCAACATCGATATATTGCAGAGTTTCGATCGATCGAAGAATGTCTTATCAATGGTTTCAACTCAATTATACCTGGCAATTTTCGAGAAGATGTATATGTTTTTGCAAATGTCACTCTTGTTGTTCTTTTTAGTGGGGCCCAAAATTGACAATAGAACGAATACAGTAGTACCAGCATTGAAAAATACAGCTGCTAAGATGGTATGCTCCATTGAGAAGAGTAATCCAGAACCCACTTGGACCTGGGAATTCCAAAAGCGAATTTGTGTGGCACTAAAAGGAAAAACTGAATGTGTACCAAATGCTGATAGCTGGGGTCCTCTTCCCAAATTTCACGCACTTGAACCTACATGTGGTCTTCCTGCAAAACAAAGCACTGTTAATGTCCCAAAGGAACAAGGACAAGCATTTTACCGATGTATTGCTATCAATAAATTTGGCTCAGATAACTTTACAACCACGTTACTTCGTGCTGGTACGTAGAAGATGTGATTAATTAGATGTGTTGCCGCGGCGATGAGTACCTGAAGCGCTCGAAGCAAGGCAGCGACACTTACCTGATTAAGAATATAAGAGCTTGAATTCTAGATTATGGCCCACAATGCAACATTTATTCTGTAGCCGTGCTCCTTTGCGGCATATACAAACCAAGACACATACAGGGAGCTTCCGGATGCGATCATTTTTAACTCGGAGATTGCGGTAGCAATCGTAGAGCTATTGGGAGGGGACAAGCTGTCACTCGATCGCTCGCTCGATCACTTTCCTGTAAACTTGAGCCTGCGATGTTTTTGTCAGCAGYWATTSATTTAATCATATTAATGTATTCTACTTACTTCCTCTAATTGGTCTCCCTGTGCTTTTCGGTTTATTATTTATCATATCTAATTTTTCTTTACTGGTTTCCCTGTGCTATATCTCATTGAATACTCCAGTTTCGAATCAATCTCGAGCCCAGAGTCTTCACGGCTAATGTCAGCGGTATGCTGACTAGTCGCCGGAAAGACTCTGGAGGAATCGACTGGATTTGCGACGCTTTTCCGTCGCAAATTATGCAAATTAGGTCAGTTTTGTTTTTGGCACTTTAGAGCATCAAAATGACAGAAAAGAAGGAGGTTTAGCACACAACTTAGTTTAGTAACGGTAGTTACACCTTTTTTAAAAACAAAAATGTGTGAAAAAAGGTGTTTTTATGCGATAAAAGTATGATGTTTTTGACTAAACAGGCGAGCGCGCGCTGGCGACTTGAAAAACCGACTTGAAAACAATGYRYGCTCGCGTCAYTTTMARCCAATCACGAATCGAGAAATAACGCATTCCCCCAGAGTCTCTCACGCATTGACAACCACTGGATGGCAAAAGTGCGGGCTCTTGGTACGAGATTGGTTTCGAATTCAAAGCGAATAACCGCTGTTTTATTTGACAGCAGATTCTCTTACGCAAAGAACTTACCAAACACAAAAGAAAGCACGGGAAAATGTTTTAAGTACAATAGCGCTTACAATTTACATTTTCACGGAGTTGAGGCTAACCCTGTATTCCCAGTAGGCTCATACCTTAGGTCTCATGGGAATACAGGGTTAGTCTCAACTCGGGGAAAATGCAAATTTTCAAGTCTATTGTAATAACGACATTTTCTCGTGCTCTCTTTTGTGTTTGTAACGGGTCTTTACGCAAGAGAATCTATTGTCAAACTTGACGCTTGTAAAGCGTGATGCGGGCTAGCTTAGCAAAAGATTCACAATACAAGATAAAAATTGTATCTCCAATGAATATTGTGACTATGACGTAACTATATATGAAAGTAAAATATGCCGATGAATACCTTAATTTTCTTTGCAGTTCAATTCTTATCGTTAACCTTCACTGTCTGCTATAATCTTATCATAAGCTATATCAACTATCAACCATAATCTTTGTGCTATAGTGATTGTCCTACATTTGCAATGTATTTTGTAAAAATATTTATGGAAGCTCTTTACTTCTTGGTTAGCGATATCACATCTATTATTATTTACATAACAATGCATTTTAGATGGCATGAGTGCATTCTTTAAATTTTGTTTTTATTAGCCTTTCTTTCGTACAAAAGAAATCTAAAAATTGAAGCAAAACAAAGCTCAATTTCAAAACTTGTACTTTGTCATTTTTAACTAATAAAAAAACCCGATGATATTAAAGCAATTTCTTTGAATTTAAACAATAAAAACATTGTCAATTAAACAGAAGAATACCTTTTGCTGTCTATAAATGTGGTAAAAAAGCCAGTATTTGAGCTGATTTCATTTTGAAGCTGTACTGAATAATCATCGAGCTGGACTGGTGAGGAAGGCGAGACTATTTTCGATGCAAAATCGTCTTAAAATGATAACTAGCAAGCTTGAAACTTCACAAATGCAAAATCCTAGTTCAANTTTGTAACGGTTATTTTAGCGGCACAGGAAGCCTATATTATATGTCTTTACCAGCGATTACCCGGAAAAACCACTCCGAGAGAGTCTGGAGAGAGAGCTTAGAGCATAAACCGGAAGCAAGATTTCTTGCTTCCGGTTTATAGGGTGTCCCAGAGCCTACGTCAGGCCGCTAGAGGCCGACAGAGTAGGGTCTGGGTACGAGAATGGATTCTTGAGAAAATTTTCAGTTCGAGAGAGACTGCAAACTAATAGATATGGCTTCCTGTGGTTCGAGAGAGACTGGAAACTGCGACCCGACAGAGTGCGAAAGGTAAAACTATAGCTGGCTAGCACAGCTAGCCCGCTAATAAAGCAGCGGATTTGCGCTATGAATTCGAAACTGGAGTATTGATATATTTTTTGGAAATTAAAGAAATCAAAGAAATTTGGGTCATCTGGGATCTGAACCTGGGCCCGCTGGATCGGAAATCAAAGGCACTTCCGATTAGGCCACGCGTGCTGATTTTACACAATATAGGCTAGACTTGTCTTTTAACTGACATGTGCTCGAACGCCCGTGCTTGTCTAGAATCGAAGTTAAAATAA